CRRKTAAACTACATTTGTGTTGTGCCTTATCTGATTCCAATAGAAGTTTAAAGTTTTCATTTTAAAAATTCTCAGCGTTTCGCACGCAGGCAGTTCTTTGGGAAGGTCATTTCATTACTTTGCAGCGTGAATTTTTCAGAAAGACGAGCGTGATTCGTGAAAGTGATGAACCAGCGTGAAGCTTCGCTTCCTAAAATGCATGTGGCCCGTGACTTTTTTCTTTTAGTTCGTGAATAGCCTCAAAATCGTTCGTGAAACGGGATCAGGACCAACCTCCCCCCCGTTTGATAAGTGAGCTTTTATGTCTTTTTCATGTGTTTTTGCAATGAATTCCCGAACCAATCAAAGTCAACAAATTTTTTTATCTTCTGTTATTTTTCTTCAAAAGTATGGGAATGGTGGTCGCTTTCATCAACTAATCACGTGCGAGAATTTTCATGCCGTAATTCAAACTTTGCGCCATTTCCACGAGGAATTCGTGCAGTATCTTTTGAATAAATGATCTGAAATCTTTGATTTTCTTTGATGGTGTGGCATTTTAAGCTTAGCTGCTTCTTCAAAGGTTCATGTTATCAGCGGTACGCTACTGCGGTTTATGCGCCGGAGAAGGCTTTGAACGAATACTGTTGAAGATGTTTAAAAAGGGCACGTTTCTAAAGAAACTGTGGTGCTTCGTCAGTGGGAGGTCTTACAAGATAATTTCGTTTTATCAACTGTGTTGATAATGTAAATTGGCCACCGGCGTAGGGAATTTCTTAAGCCGAAGTTTTGAGCGTTAGCCCTTCGTCAGAGAAAATAGAGGAATTGTGGGTTGTATGTGCGGAAGATGAAGCAACTCGTACGTTATTGGTGGAATCAAGCCGGTGAATTTATTTTCAAGTCTTTTTAAACTTGTTCAAATCAAAACCTACCTGAATGTGAGTAAAACTGAAGTCAATGCAATGAACGTATTTGATTGTTTAATAGTTTTATTTTTGCTAGATTTAGAAATGAATAAACTTCTGCCAATTCAGTTTTTTCAAATCCAGGCGACCGTCAATATCACCCTCTCCGTCTTACAACCTCACCAATCTTTTCAACAATGCAAAAAGTGCAGGATCACTCAGTTTCAATTCAGTTTAACTGTAGATTACGAAAAATTTAAGCTTCATTTGGCTATATGGTATGCTTTTTTCTCAGATAAATCTTTTGAATAATTACATAACCAATGCGATGATATCTAACCCACAAATTGAAAATGATAACCGAATAGTTTTCAGCTGGATTTTTCTTTTTCTGGCAAAGTGTACTTTAAAAAGAAGAAATAATAAGACGAAAGGCGAAAGAAGGGAAAGAAGAAATTGTGGCGTAAGCTGAAAACTATCAATTTTCGTGTCAGAAGTTACATTCATTCCTGCTTTAGCCGCAGTTAGTAATGTGTTTCTTGTCCCCCGCGAGTCGCAACTTAGCTTGCAGAGTAAGTCAGGACTTGACGAGATCTCGCTCACGCTCGTGCAATGCAGCGGTTCCGGCGTGCGAAATCAGTGTTTTAAAAAGAACTCGTGCGTGCACTTGCTGTTCTCTGCAGACTGGTCCAGAAACAAAGTATCCTTTTACATTTTGGCAATCTCAAATCAAGATGTTTGGCGAGCTCTATATAATTACCAAGTTCTGTTGCATTGATGGTTTGGAATTCAAATTGCGTGCTTCTACCCGTTGGTCAGAACCCAACTTAAAACGAGACCTGCCTTTAATTTTGTTCTTTCTCATTGTTATCACAAATTCTTGAACCAAAATCTCGTGTTCCTAGAAGCGGTAATCGCAAGGATCCCATTGTTGGGTTGTTATCATCTGAAAGCGGTGGCGCAGGAGGTCTAAATGCCTTCAAAGATTCAATGAAGCCGGGGGCAGCTAGTCTGTTCGGTTCTAGCGAAGATAATGGTATCTGAAGATGACCAGATTCTGCACGAGCAGCTGATTCTATCTTAGGAAGTTTTAAACTCGCTTTATCTTTGGATTCATCTTCTGTGTGAGATAAGACTATAGCTGGAACATCAAACCCCTTCTTCCCCTCTGAAAACTCTCCGACAGAATGCTGTCCGATCTCTATCGAAGGACGGTTATTGTGTTTACCTTCTACTAGTGGCGGTAACAGCGATTTACTTGTTGACTTTGATTTCTTCTCCTTTCTCTGCTGATTTTTAAACTTTGTCTGTGACAGTGAATTGTTCCTGTCCTCAATTGTACCATTTATTATTGCACTGTGTTCTGATTCATAGTTCAAGCACCCTGCGGTGGACGAAAATGAGCCCAAAGTTTCGATTATGTAACTTTTTCCCCCGCTCGTGTCGTTGCTTGCGACAGGAAAACTTAGTCGTCGTTTTGGGTGTAAAGGTAGTGTAACTTCGCTGAAGAACTCGAGACAGCGTTCTTCCCAAGCCGTCAGTTTATGCAACTGATACAATTTTTGATCGTGAAAATCAGTAAAGTCGTCGAATGTCTCGAGGTTTTGCTCTTCGCAGTTTTCCCATGGTCCATCTAACACTTTTTGTTCTGCGATGGAATTCTTGTTCACAACCAAGCGCTTCGCTTTATCCTTCTTCTCCATAACCACACAAGACAGTATACCTCATTCTTTGAAAAACCTCGTTCTTGTCGCTGACAACTTGACAAAAGCAGTCACGAAAATAGACCACAGCAGTAAAACAAAAATGACCGCCTTATTCTCTTGTAGGCTCTGAATACATCTGTGTCGGTAACCAGCATTTATCAGTGTCCGTGTATCCTGATAATCCTATATCTCTGACGCAACTTTGCCATAGTCTACAGCTGCCACAACATTCCGCTACCCGGTCCGATAAAATCACCAAGAAACCTTTAAGAGATAAATGCTTGCCAAACTCCTCCAGTGCGTTGGCTCAATGGAACACCTATCAGCTCATTGCCTTGTGTTTATATTACTTTGTCGGTCTGATACCTAGACGTATCAAGCACGGTTGAGACCAAAATAAATATGGTGTTCATACCCACAACGTTCGATATCCCGCTTTTCGACCCTCGTCCTCACATTGACAAATTCATTTTCCAACAAAGGTGCTTCAGTTTAACGTTAATTATCGCAGCAAAACTACTTTTTTTGTTCTCATTATATGACCGCTTAGGCACAATGGCGAGTTGAGAACAATTTTATATTAAGCCTGAATTATTTATCATTTCTAGTCGGGAAGATTTTTGTTTTGTGATGAACATCCCGTGTAGATCAGTCTCGAGCGTCAAAAGGGGTTGTGTTTCCACTCATTGTTATGTATTCTTTTAAGGATCTTTTTGTTATTTTTTAGCAAGTGTTTTGTACAGGTACCAACACATGTCGAGATATTGCGAGATATCTTATCTCTAACGGGAATAATGAGGAATTCCTGTTTACGTCTCTTTTTTTCTCCTCATTAGCTCTAGTCTTCTGTGAAGTTGGTAATTTAACTTGAGTTGTTTGGGAATATTTCCTTGATTTCTCTGCATCTTTCTGATAGATAGATAGTAGATAGATAGATAGATAGTTTATTTGAAAAAAACATTGCAACCGAAGGTTGAATTACGTATTCATTTACAAATTTAACAAACATATAAAAATGGTAACATACTTTTAAAATATTAGAAATTAGGTGTGATTTCAGTTGAGGAGCTTTGGTAAAACATACGTGAAATTCTAATTTCATTGGGAAAGGATGGTTAAGCCCCAACCCTTCTCTCCCC